GATTCGTTCCCAGATACCTCTTTGAAAGTAGAGAGCAAAGGAATGAGATGTAAGACACTATGATCAAAGGTGAGGTAGAGGGAGAGATGCTGGAGTACCATTCGGGGAGGACCAGGCTGGGTGGGACACAGCCCTGGAAAGTCCTACACAGTCAGAGGTCAGTTAAGGCAGGAGGGACAGAGTGAGAGGGACAGGGAATGGGGAAGGGTGAGGAGAGCAGTCTCCAAAGAAGTCATGTAAAGGTCAGTGTCCTAAAAGGGGTGGGACACTAAAGTAACATGTTGTCCATTGAATGCTTGTGTTTAGAACTGGCTGTGTTTTTATTTCTCCAGGCCTGAGACCAGACAGTCTTATCAATAGTCTCCGCCCTTGACCTCTCTCTCCTCCTAGCCATCTCTCACGAAAACCTGCTGTTTTAAATTCTATGTTGCTTGGATCCTGTCTTCACATTCTTAGGGTTCCCAAAAAGGCTTTTCAGTTTGCTGCAGGCCAAGGGTCATGCCAGGACTGTGCTCCACCTTTTAACTCAGTTCCACCCTCCAGGGATCTCTCCCTCTATGAGAGCCACCTCCCGCTAGTGTGCACGATCCCAACACTCCCCTCCCCAAAGCCTCCTGTGACTTCAAAATGATGCGCAAATAAATAAAACTCCTGGCTCTCCCTTAACAGAGACTCCTAACCTGGTCCTTATCTAAGGTCCTTTTTAATAAAAACTAACATTCTTCCAGTGAACTTGAATGTATTGAAATATTATCGTTAACTATAACCTGGCAGTCATCCCAACACTCAACTGAAACCTTTCAGGGAAAGAATCACCTGTGACCTTTTTTGGTCATTGTTGCCAAAACCAATATACACATAGTATTTCTTGCCTCGGTGTCCTTTTTGCTGTCCATGGTGTTTTCAACACACCCTCATTTTTGTTCCTCTCTCCTGCCCGGTTCCCTGGCACCGCTCTCTGCGGGTTCTCCACAATGTTGCCTCTTGCTTTTGTCTACTCAGCATTTCTTCCCCTCCCCTTGGTAACTGCCCCCGCCTCCCTGAATAAAGTGGGCACATGACCTGAGAGGGCCTCTCACGATACCAGACCTCTGTCCTCAGTGATTGCTCCAGAAAATGGTCACACGTCTCAAAGCTGACCAGTCAGGGTCTTTCCTCGGGATTTTCTAAATGTAGCTGCTCTGGAATACCCTTAATCAATTAGTTTTGCTGTGTGATACTCTCAGAACCTCAGCGGTTTATAATAACCAATATTCATTTTCTTGTTGATGGGCCCACAGGTCAGGTGTGGCAAGGATTAGCTTCAGGTGTGCTTCACAGGTTTCCTCTTTCTTTCTGGACAGTGTCTGGTAGGGGTGTACTCTTTTCAGGATGGAGCACAGGCATGCAGAGCAAGCAGAGACACGGGATACCTCTTAAGGTCTTGGCTCGGAACTATCACATCATTGCTCTGTCCGTGTTACCAACGCAAGCCATGTGGCAAACCCAGTGTCACTGGGAAGAAGCCTCTCATGGGAAGAACTGCATTGCGGTCACTCAACAATGAGGGGACGGATAATGCAGATATCCCTGCACTGGGGACATCCAGGACTGGGGACAAGAGGCAATCTGCCACACTCCCTTTACCTTTACAAACTTAGGCTTGAATGTGGACAAAAAAGGGGTGCTGTAATAATCTAACTCAAAGTACCTTCACACGGTGATCTGATCATAAATTCCTAATGTGGCAGGTTATGGGGGGTAGTAATGCCCCAGCCATAAAGCTTCTTTAGTAAAAGGTTCATATTTGCCATAAGCGAGCCCTGTCCAATGTTTTTGCATGACTGGGTCAACACATCTTTGAAATGCCTCTTTTTCAGACTCCTAGAAGTTATTTATATTTCTGGATGTGAATCCTTTGTCAGCCGTATGCGTGACAAATAAACATTCTCAATTTGTGATTTATCTTTTTGTACTTTATGGTCTATTCATGAATAAAGGCTCTGAATTTCATTTAATCGCATGTGTCAATTTTCCTCTGTGGTTTGCATTTGTTTGTTTGTTTAAGGAATCCTTCCCGATCCTAAGGTCATACATAGTAAAAGCCGGGACTTACTGAGTCGTCTCTGTGTTTCAGTATGCATTATCTCCCTTTTACCGATGATGGAAGCCAGGCACAGAGAAATCAAGCAACCTGGTCAAAGTCACACAGCAAATGAACACTGGATTCAGGATTTGAACCCAGACAGTCTGCCTTTAACATCTGCATTTTAACACTGTTCAAAATGCCTGTTGCAGAGATCGCATCATGCTATTCTAAAATGTTTAAAGTTTTGCCTTTCTCCTTAAAGCATATAAGCTGAAGTTGGCTTTTGTATATGAACTAATCTTTACCATAATAACTACCTTTCCCCTTGGACACTCATCATTAATGAAACGAGTGTCGGCTGATTCGTGCTAAAGGTGAATTTAAACAAACAAACAAACAAACAAACAATTGTGTGGGTGCTGCGAGAGGTGATCCCAGGCAAGGTGGGCAAAATGCAACCCTGTTCTCTAAGTTCCCCATGAAGTCCAGCTTCAAATGATGTGGCACCAGAATAGAAGTCTTTGAATTAACTGAGGAAGACGGACCTCCACCTTTCCGGCACTGAGGACAGGATGTCGATCGAAGGCTTTTGGCGTCCTCTAAACAGGATACCCCCTGAAGAAACCCCAGCCAGAGGTAGAGCCATCCCAAAGTCCTGAACAGCCTGCAGCTCTGCATACACTGCTGGGACTGAAATAGCTCACACCGCACTTGCTGCCGCCTCCTTGTGAACCGTGTGGGAAGGAACCCTGGTCACGAATTCTTTGTTTCAACCGCCCCCCACTTGCTGGGACAGCCACAGCAACTGCAGTGGCATCTTAGAATCTGGAGAACAAATGGCACATCACAGGCTGCACGTCATACCTATCCTGCACCAAGTGCTGCCTTTCTCTAAAATGAGAGGTTTTGAAACAAACCCAAGAAACTGGAAATATTTTTTAATTAAAAAATAAAATGGGGATGAGCTGGGTGTAGCAGAATTTGGGGGCCAGATCAGAAAGCCTCTCAAATATGCCGGGGTTAAAAAGTGTGAACTTCCTTGCATCAAGGGGGAGGTTTGGGAAGCATTTTAAAGAGAAAATAACATGATCCATTTATTATTTTGCTTGATAGAGACTGTATGTCCAGTTACCATTTGGCTGATAGACCATGCTAGACTGGTTGTGCCAGGCTCTGCTGGGGGTGCCCTCCCACCCTACCCGCCCCCTTCTTTGCGAGCAAAGCTCACTTCCCGCTCTGTAGGCTGGAAATGCCTGAGCCACTTACCCAGCCTCCCTTGCAGGCAAAACATGTGCATGTGACCCAGTACTGGCTAATGGGACCTGAGAGACAAGGCTGCTGGGAGGATTCTGCAAAAGGTTTTCCTTTCTAATGAAAAGATGCATAAGAAGAAATGTCCACTTCCTTTCTAAAAGTGGTCATGTTTGCATGTAATGGCTGCAGCTGCCACCATGAAAAGGGACAAGGCCAATACCTCAGGGATGGCAGAACAGAAAGATGGAAATGATGGCATCATAGAACCACAAATAGCCATATCTGCCCCATGCTCCCAGAGATATCAGACACTTGTTGAAGCCACTTTTATTTGGATATTTTGTTTCATGAACCCTGAAGCATCTCAATGGAAAGAAGCATTCATAAAATCACCAACACAAATTCATGCGATGTACCGAAAATGTTGAAAATAGACACTTTTCTTTCAGACATTTATTTGAAATAAACGAGCCTCTTAAAATTGGAAATACCTATCCTATTAACTGCTCACCAAACGTTTTGAGTGCTCAAGCAAGAAATTATACAACTTCTGAGACATGTTTTGTTTTTCCTCTATCTGAAATGATTCTTTCTCATTTTCTTCTCTCCTTTGCACATGCTTCCTGTTCCCCACTAGACAACAATTCTCTCCCCTTGAATATCTCTCTCTCCTGAAGTCATGGCAGTCAAAGCACATTATAGAAGAAGAATCTCAGCGCTGTGTAAACAAAGAAAAATGGCAAGTTCCAGAGCGTGGAGCAACAATATAGAATCATAACATTCTAACGGTGAGAGAAAACTTGCGGATCTTTTGTAGTATTGTAACACAGCAGAATTGAAGGCCGGTAAGCCCAGAACATCTGGTTAGAGTTCCTTAAGACCATTAACAACACTTATCTTTCATCCTAAATTCTTACATCCAGTAGCTGGGCAACCTTTCAGCAAGTTCTTCTAGTTTCTTTGGAAGGAAAACCCAATCCAGTCCCAAGCACAGGTTGGGATCCTCCAGCTACCACTGGAGGTTCTTTCCTTCATTTCAGAATCTGTCAAGCGTTGGCACTGAAATTTAATCTGTGCAATCTTCATACTCGGGTTGCTTAACAGTATTTTCGAGAACTCTTTTCCATATGCAAACAATTTAAAAATACAGGTGAGACACGCTAAGTATGTGATAGCCGGAACTGCCAGGTACAGGCAGGCGAAGGTAAGCTTGCTTTGGACTAGCCCACGTCTTTCACTCACATTAACCTCAACAAATGGTGACTAAACGCCGGCTGGAAGGGCTGGAAGGGCTGGAAGGGCTGGAAGGGCGTCTGGCGATGGCCACACTGACAGAGGCGGACACCCGCGCAGCGCGGCGCGGTGGTGAGCCCGGGGCAGCGTGGCCAGCGAGGACGCTGTGCCAGAGGCCCTGCGGCGGGGAGGACGACGAGCTGGCAGGGCCGTCCAGCGAGGCTGCAAGCGGCCGGGCTCCCCGGGGGCACCTGGCGTGGCGGGAGGAGGGAGGCTGCGCGGCGCCGGGCGGGGCACGGGCGGCGCACCTGCGGCCGCGCGGGGGCGGGAGCCAGGTGGCCCGGGAGCACCGTCCGGCCCCGGCTTCGAGCAGGAAGTGGCTGCGGCGCGGCCCCGGCGCGGCCTCGGCGGGGCACGCCTCCTCCCCGGAGCCTCGCGGAGCATCCGGGCCAGGAGGCAGCCGAGCCCGAGCCCGAGCGCCTGGAGCGAGACCTAATGGCGGCGCTGGCGCCCGGAGGCCCTGGGGACGGCGCCTCGGCCGCCCTGGACGAGCTGTCCCGGAACTTCACGTACGGGGCGCCGGGCGCCGGCAATGGCTCCTTGTCGGGCGCGTGGTACCGCAGGAACCAGGTAAGGGCAGCCGCCCCGCCGCCCGGTGCGAGCAGGCGCGGGGTCGCGGCGCCCCCTGCTCCTCGGCCGTGCTCCCGCCAACTCTCACACAGACACCGGGCGGTCCACGTGGGTCGAGCTGACCTGATGTCTGCACACGTTGACTTAATTGCCCCTCCTTTGGGAGAGCGGGGTCCCCCCGCGCGTCGGCTACCCCTCCTGGGCATCCGTCACCGAGAGTGGGTCGCACAGGTCTGCGGCCCTGACCTCTGTGGGGTCACTCCTGGGCCTCTCGGTCCGGAACAATCCCGCCTCTCCAGCCCGAATCTGTCCTTTCCGCCCAGGATTCTAGGAGAGTGGGGTGAATCTCCTCCACCCATATTCCCCCCAGGATCATTTTACAGTTAAAAACAGTGACACCCCCTTCTCATAGGCAGGGAACTCATTAAAGGCAACCAGATGTCACCCCTGCGCAGATGCTCTGTGTGTGTGTGTGTGTGCGTGTGCGCGCGCGCGCGCGCCCACGCCCACTATCTCAGTGCAGCGCTTCCACTTCCGTGAGAGGATCACTGATACTCTTACCGACCCTTTGGGAAAACATTGTCAGCCTAAATAACTTCAGTTTACGCTGGAAACATATACTTAACAACATCAAAGGAGATTGTCGGATTGGCGCTGCCCTTTTATTTTGGGTTTGACTGAGGATCAGAAAAAGACCTCTGGTGGCCCCTCCCCTCGCTTTTATTATCTCTCTGGTGGGGACAAGTGATCTTGATAAGGTGGATTCTGGGCTACCCCTATGGTGTTACTTTGTTCTGGTTCTTTAACAAATTGACAGGTCTTTTTATTTTGCAACAATGTAATCATAAAGTATTTGTTGCGGGGTTTTTACCCAATGAACAAATGCCTCGAATCCTTTTATGCATAAAAACTGTTTTGAATGTTGCCTGAAATGTTAAAATTTTGTTTCAAAACTTTTAACACAAGACTACTTACATAAAGTAAGAATGTTCACCTTAGTCTTCAACAGAGTGGAGTGTCGTTAGAGAGTATTGTTTTAAGTCTTACCACAAAATATACTAAAATAGGAAAAATGTGGGGCCCCAGAGCCTCTTGATCACTGCTTGTAACCTATTCCATTTCTCCTTCCTTCCACCCACCCAGAGTTACAGATAAAATTCCTTATTTTGGGAAGTTCTTTGAATATGCGTTATATAAATTATGCTAATACTAGTATATATTGTGAGCATGTTATAATGTGCTTATACCAGGAACCCTCCTAATATAAATTAAAGAATGAATTTTTTTCTTTTGGTAATGAAAGTAGAGTGTTAAGTAGATACGACCTCCCATGCATCATTCAAAACAGGAGAAACCATTGTTTTCACAGTGGAAACCTCTGGCGTCATTAGTTTTCCTTTAATGTTTCCTGGAATTCAAAATTGTCTTGGCTCTCTGACACCTGAATACAGATTATCACGTGACATAAACTTGAGGACCTTGTTTGCAAAACTTGACTTGTCTTTAACAATATATTTATATGGGTTAGAACTGTTGTATATTAGAAATGGGTGTATCCAGATATGCTAATTGAAATTACTAGGCTGACTTTTAAGTTATAGCTAGTTTGAGGTAAGGCCATATCAACTTTTCCCATCATTGTGCACATTCAGACTGACTTACAAGATTGTCATATTTTACCCTTTCAGTAATTGCATTTGTTTTTAATCAAAAGTAAAAAATTGATTTTTAAAAATTCATTCAGCAAACAGTTTATTGCATGCCTGTAGGGCTGACCAGGCCAGTAAAAACAAAATGGAGTTTTAAGTTTTCTTTTCTTTTTTGACACTAACTGAACATAGAAGGCTGAAAATGGAGGTGGCTGAAGAAAAACAAAATGTGAAATAGAAGTTTAGGATTCTCATACTCAAAATTATCCTTGGTAGATGGGAAGCCAGGGTTTAATCAGTTTTATCGCTGCTTAAATATTTGGACAGTGTCTGAGCACTGATAGTCCAGCTCTCTGTGTCTCTCCAACTGATAACCATCAGATCAAATAAATGAACCTTACTTGTAGAAAAAGAGCAGCTCCCCTGAAACACTTTTATGTAAGAGATGAATATTTAACAGTGGCCTCATAGAATCAATGTTGCCTAAGACAAAGATGTGAGTATTTCAGAGGAGGAAATCTCAAAATAAGTAGAAAGTAAGTAGCAGGAGGAAAAGTAGCAGTGAGGAAAATGTTTTAGGGAGCCAGGGAACTGAGGCCTTTGTCCGTTCTGAGGTCACTCAGGAGTCTGCTTTTAAAAGTACAGATTCCATAGAATTCTACAAAAATATTTTGTATATGTTTGAGCCACAAGTTTTCAGTGTAAAAGGATGTTTCTAAGATGGTTAATGAGTTTCCTGCTTTGTACAAAGCACTGTGAGGATATTCAACTGCAGTAGTTTCCCTTTATTCTCTGGGGTTATGTTCCAAGACCTCCAGTGGGTGCCTCAAACCACAGAGAGTACTGAACCCTATATATACTACATTTTTGCCTCTACGTACATGCTTATGATAAAAGTTTAATTTATAAATTAGACACAGTAAGAGATTAACAACAACATAATAAAATAGAACACTTGTATCAATATACTGTATTAAAAATTATGTAATTGTGGTCATTTTCTCAAAATATTGTAACTCTCTGGAAATAAATGGCTTGTGGTCACACATTTCAGGGGATCCCTTGAGTCTTTGTAGAGGCTCAGAGCTTTCAGGTGCAACATGTTGTTGTTGATTGGAACACAATTTCTGATCGTCTCTTCCACCCACAAATTTAATGCCTTTTCTGTCTTAACTATGCACTTAAATACATTGTGGCCGTAACTTTTGCAGTTTGAGGTGCAACAGTGAAATAGCACCAGTTTCTTTTTCTTTCTTCACAATATCATGACTAGAAGATTTATTCTTACTATTGATCTTAGCAACCTCAGCCTACAAGTTTTTTGGCTTTCCTTGAGTCAAGAACTTTCACCTTCCCATTTAGGGGAAGCATTTCATGGCTTCTCTGTCGCATATCCAAATTGTCGGCATCATTACTCTTGCCCTTTGGGGCCCTTGTTAGGTAAAAGAAAGGTGTCATGAACACAAGTGGTGCGATACTGCAGCAGCCCCGCCAAGAGCCCAGATGATACAAGGTGACCGCCAGGCCGGGAGTGTGTGCAGCGTGGATACGTGGGACAGACGGATGGTTCATGTCCCAGGTGGAATGGACTGGAAAGGCCTGCGGTATCTTTGGGCGACTCAGAACTGTGTGAAATTTAAAACTTCCACGTTATTTATTTCTGGAATATTTTCCAACCACAGTGAAGGGCAGGTAACTGAAACCACAAAAAGCAGACTTGTGGATAAAAGGAGGACCCCTGTAGTCTTCAGACCCAAACCCGTCTTTCCAGGAATGTGACGAGGTGCTTGGGAAAGTGAGCTATACAGGTGACTCCGTAACAAGTATGTGGTAGGTGTCATGTGAGTAATAAAGTCCTGTGGAAATTCAGAGCAAGGTGAGTTTTAACAGGGACCAAAAGGGATGTGTTGTAGAGAGGTGGGATTTGAGCCAGACACTTAAATATAGACAGAATTGCACTGTTGGAGTATACAGACGGTCAGCGTTCCAAGAAAAGGAAAAATCTGGGGACCAAGGAGTACCCCACGTGGCCTGGCCATTTTTGTATCTAGAATAGCAGTCAGTAGCCATTCTGGTTGCCGTGGAAGACAGAGACTGATTGTAAGGTAGAAATATAGTTTGGCGTCTTCGATATAGTCATGGATTGCCTTGAAAGACTGGTTAAGGAGTTTGGATTTTATCTTCTAGACAGTGGACAACCCTGGAAGGTTTTTTGAGCAGGGAGTTTAAGAAAGCAAATTAAATGAACGAAATTTAAATTAGGGTTAGCAGGCTTCAGAGTCCTCAAATTGGCCAGCTGTGGACCAAATCCAGTCCATAGATGTCTTGTTAGACTTACAGAGAGGTTTAGAAAATGTTTAATGCATTGCCAACCTTTAAAAATGAGTGGATTACATATGAAGTTTCAAGTTTCCATGATCTCTTTAAATACTAGAAGGCCTAGCAACACTCGGCCTCCTTTCCCACGTGGTGACTGGGAGCTGGCGTACAGCTGGGCTCCCACTTCAGCCCCTCTCTTTACTCTCATCTCTTCTACCTACTGGCCCCTGTGGGCAATTTGCAACCAGTGTTAGAGGCTGTTGTCTGTTCTTTGCTGTTAACTAGCTGAGTGTACTCAGGCAAGTCGCTCGGACCTTCAGGTTCTTCACCTGTAAAATTAGGGTTGGAATAGAGCTGCAGGCTCCCTCATGCTATCTGGTTGAATAAATTCCAAACCAGAAAGATTTTAGAGGAAAGGAGGAGTTTTGCTGCTGGTTCTTTAAATATATGCACAGCATATTGCTAAGTATGTAAGTTCACAATGACATTGTCAAAAGGTTTATTCTGCATAAGGTGAAATGAAAATTTGGAATTTTTGATGTCCTTTATTTGAACTTTTGACTTTCGATGGCTTGAATTTTTAAAGTCAACATATTTAAAGGAAAATTGATACAGCTTGGCAAGGAAGAGGCAAAGCAAAGAGACTGACATTTGTTATACATTTACTGTATGACACTTTATAGCTATTATCTCATTGGAGCCCCCAACAACCTCGTAAGGTATATATTATCCTCACTGTTCCTGTAAGGAAACTTGTGTTAAATAACTTGCCCCAAGTTCTTACAACAAGTAGGTTTAACTGCAAATCTATTTTTATTTCATGCCTGCAGGCCATTGCTTAGAAACTAAGGCTTGAAAAGAATGTGGTGGTAAGAGTAAATGTGAAATGAATATGGCTTGTCTCACTGTTCTAAAGAAAAATCGTATTGAGTTTCATATTGCCCTTTTATTGATTTTGCTTTACTGCCATCTATCTCTTTTTCTGTAGGTAGCTGCATCAGACTGCTTCCTAAAGAAAGAAAAGTGCCAAAC